GCAGCCGCTTACTTGATGTACACTTGATTCGTGGTCTTCATCGCTCGCTGATTCTAACTGACCTGAAAGTTGTAAGAAATCAATCAATTGATTTTGATCATCGACGGATCTGATTCTTCTGCAAATTTGAATGAATTTCTTTTAACAAAATCCATTCGTGAATTCCCTCTCCTGATGAGAGGGCAAACCAATGAAAAAAGTGTCGTTCTTTCTTTCTTGAATCAACCGATGGCCGTCAGAAAGCAAGTCGCATAGATTTCAAGAAGCATTGGCAAAAGTCACTTCAATACCGTTACGTTTCTCCACTACTCTAGCCTCGTCTAGCGTATTATTTCTCGTTTAGTAGTTGTTTCAGTTGATGCGATCGATAGGAAAAACCCATGTAAACCGTCCTGGATGAACGCAACATATTAATAGATGATTAAAAAGCTACGTTACCCTCTCAGGTAGCATATTTGTCGAGTCTTGCAAAAACAAAAACATTGCATCGCACACAGACTGACGTAACTTTTGCAGAATATTTCATCATGTTTCATTGTCAGCGCGAATCGATTTTAAATTATAACTTTCATGAATTTGATTTTTTTACGAATTTTCAAGAGAACTGTTGGAAGACAGCAAGAAACAGGTTTTGCGAATCACTGACAGGTGTTTAAGACGAATGTCCTCCCTCAAAGATAGACAAAGTTGATAAATGTTCTTGAACTCACTCACGGCAATTAGAAAATTCGAAATTTTTTTCTGAGGGTCGTCAAGTGGCCTGACCGAATGTAGAAAAAGAAGGCAAAAATCACCGATAAAATTTAATTCATGTTCATAGTATAACAGATCGGATCGGTTAATTCGATATATTAACTCAATTTTACCGCCAAGTCGTGCAACAGCCGTTTTAAATTTTTTACCTGTCAAACAACGACGGAAGAATAAAAATTCAAAAAAAAGAAAAGAAAAAAAAAACGAATTTCTCTTCAGCTACATCTAACAGAACGACAACATTTATAAATCTAANAAAAAAAAAGAAACGAATTTCACTTCAGCTATATCTAACAGAACAACAACATTTATAAATCTAAATTTTGTGCGAGTTAAATTTTCAATTTGTATTTTTTTGCTTCTTTGTTTTCATCGTTGCTTCGACTAGGACCAAATTCGACACCACTTTCACTTATATGTTCCATCACCATTATTGATTTTAACTTACTCTGTGACTCGTTCGATACTTACCAGTATCCTTGGAAAATGACTTGGTTTTAACTCCGCCGAGTGACAGTAGCTTGCTTCGGCACATGATGAGCGCAAATCATACTGTGCGGAACGCACAATTCGACCGTATTTATCGGTGAAGGAACGAAACCATTACATCACGTCACCCTGTGACATTGCTATTTTCGAGCTTCACGGACGAGGTGCGCAAGCAAATGCCATGACAACACGCTGATAATCGTTTAAATAGATATGACCACTTAAAAGAAACCGCGATGAGAAGGGATTTTTCCCTTCGCTGATAAAAGGTCTTTGGCTTTGTTTCATTTTGACATTTACCTTGGAAAACAAAGGAAGTACAATAGCTTGTTCAGGCATGTTGTTTC